AGTTTTATTTTCTCTAATTCTGTCTTATGGGAAATGTTCACCTCTGGAATTACCTGACTTCAGTAGGACCTGAGGGCATTCAACAGTTTGTTGAATAACATGGGTTTTTCTTAGTTCACCTGAAATGGTGGCAGCACTCTGTCCATTGCTTTTTCATGCTCTCTCCAGGTACCAGACATGGGCACCTTTTTAAACCAGAGAAGGACAAGAGTGTTGTTTGCTGCAGGTACTTCTGTTTAAACACTCCTGGATAAATGTAGAAGAAATAGAGGGGGAAATCTCTAACTGTAATCTCTGAAATCTCTCCAGTACTGTCTTAGTTACTTAACTGCTTCCAGAAGTAACTGCTGTTTACACCAGACTGGACAGCTGATTCCCTCTATTTGTGCATGGAGTGAAATCAGCTGACTCTCTCTGTGCTTTGATCAGAACTGGAGTTGGAAATAAAATGAAAATTCATTGATCACTTACATTATTCTAACCCTCCTCAAGACTTTTGCCTGGAAGTTTTCACTTGTTGAAGGACTATTGCCCAAGGCTCACATGTACAGTTAGACAGATGCTATTTCATTACTTTAGTTATGTTTAGAATTTGAAGATTTTTTTCTTTGCAGACATAAGTATTTGAATATTTTCATGTACTTCTCGATGAAGGTCAGACTCTTTGATGACTGACACAGTAAATTGTGCCATGGGAAATAGCATCTGAAGCTGCTTTCAGAAGTAGAAACTGAGTTTTGCAAAAGCAAGTCTCCCCTAGACTCCCAGTGCAGAGAGAGAAAAGCTCTTCCAGATGTCTCTTCTGATTGCCTAAAAAGAAGTTTCTGCTCAAAATAGCTCTTTTTAATGTGTCTCTTTCTGATTTTTGTCTATACTGGCCATGAATTGACCTCAGGAGGTTAACCTTCTGTGGCTAATTTTAGTCTGTGAATAACCCTGCCACCTCCACAACTCAACCACTTTCATCTGGTAATGTTTCACAGCCTCTTTGCATTCATTTTGCCTGGAAATATTGATGCTGACAGAGAAGGATGAGTTATAAGTGTTTGATTCTATGGCTGTTTTGCCATTTAATTTTTCTCATTTTTTTATCTACTATTCTGTGTAAAATCTTCATCCTTTTTCATATATAGGTTACTGACCTGAAAGTTGTACTCAGCACATATAAGTGATTTCACTTAATTCTTCAAATAAATATTAAGGCTACTGTAAAACTGAGGAAAATATTTAACTGCAGACTAAGGCAGACAGAGAAAGAGGTCTTGAAAGTTCAAATCATGATTCACAAGCCTAAAAAAAGGTAAAAAAGAAACCAAAGTGAAACCTTTCATCAGCAACCTCCAGTTCTTCTTGCTCTCCCACCCAAATTAATTCAGTGAGGTTTTTCAAGCCTTTTTAATTTCAGTCATTTATTTTTACCTCAAATGCAGGTTAACATAAACCAGCAAAGAAACAGCAGTGATTTTCACAGGGTCTTAATAAAAAAGAGGGCAAATAAAATTAGTGATTATGGGAAATAGGTACACCTGTAATGCTGAGTTCTTGCCCTAATTGTGAAGGTACCACATTCACTAAAACAAGAAAAAGAGTAAGGGTGCTGGTTCTGCTTTGCACTGATGCAAATGGGCATCTCAGTGAGATTCATGAGAGGATTTCATAGTGTGAAAAAGTGCACTGAAAAAGTGCACCCTGATCAGGAATCAGAGCCATTGTGTGCATCGACCCTCTCTCACAAAACAGGGTGGGTTTTAAAGCAGCAACTACAATCATGTAGGCCTTTAAAAAATATATATGCTTTGCAGTATTCATCATGTGACATTGTTTGATGTCTATGTGGGCTGAAATGCAACAAATTTGTCACTCTCTGCTAGACTGAGAATGGAACAGGCATTAGAGTCATGTCAATCACAGCCCAGACCTCGTGATTTTCATTTCCTGAAGCACTGAATTGTGTTGCCAAACGACGAGACGCCTCTCTGCAGATTTCACTGGTACCTGATCGGGAGGTGTGAAAATTCCTGACTATGTCTGAGGCTGACCAGGTGCAGGGCATAAAGAAATGCCTCTTTTCAGTGCACAGAAGATGGCAAGCTGTGCTCTCTAGAAATGGCTCCCATGTCGATTGATACAAAAGCAGCTTGCAAATTCAATTCTCCTATACATTAGTAGGAAACCTAGATTTTCTGGAAATTTTCAAAGATAATAATTCTTTTACATCTCTTTAAATTACCTTAAGGACATCTGCTTATAACATAATGAATGATTAATTAAATCAATACTTTTCAGAAGTGAACTGTAGATCATTAAAAAAGCAAAACCTCTCAGCTGCTGTTCAAAGGTCCATCCTGCAAGAATTTATTTTAAAGCCATCATTGGCTCGAATAGTGCAAGGTTATGATCTAGTCATTCCTTATTACCTGTCGGGAGCTAGATCCTGATCCTAAGAGGTAAGAGTAGCTACTTTTACAAGGAATAATATGTTCCTTTTGTTGATCGAGAGCTAGATCCTGATCTAGCTACTCCTACAAGGAATAATATGTTCCTTTTGTTGAACAAGGATTTTTGAATCTAGCCCTTCCATTCAGCACCACAGTGGCATTGCAGAAGACCTAGACACTTCTGTGAGACTCAAAGGAGGCATCAGAAGCTGTGATTTAGTGGTTTGACGGACAAGAATTAATTCAAAGGATATACTAGTCCTGTATGTTCTGCTTCCAGTCCCCTAAATAGAATAAAACTGAGCAGGGTGTGTGTGAGAGACAAGAATGAATTCAAAGGATATACTAGTCCTGTATATTCTGCTTCCAGTCCCCTAAATTGAATAAAACTGAGCAGGGTGTGTGTGAGTTCTCGTTGTAAGGGAAGAGGGATCTGATCTGTGTTGTCATGACCTGTGGAATGCACACCAGAGTCTGACTCCATGAAATCATGACCTATGTAATGCACACCAGAGTCTGACTCCATGAAAAGTATCCAGCAAGAGCTGAGCACATTTTCACCACTTCAAGCAAAGAGAAAAAGAAAATTTCCAAGGAGTCTTTCTGCAAGTGATGTCTCTCAAACTACCACTTCAAGTGAAGAGAAAATTTCCAAGGTGTCTTTCTGCAAGTGATGTCTCTCAAACAGTTAATAGAGTTAGATACCTCACAACTGCATTTCAACTTGCTTAAAAATAAATTGCAAGTAGCACCCAGCAATTTACTGTGATTGTCCTGGCATGTAATTGTCCTGTCCTGGCTACAATGACTTAGTCTTACCTTCTTACATTGGCTGAGACCTTGAGCTCGTATGTATGATGCTACCAGAGCTGCTTTCTAACCTACACAAAAAAACTAAGGGCATCTGAATTGAAACTCCTTTTTTACTGTGTAGATACTTGGATAGTTCACATTTGAGCCAGGAGCACTTTAAGCTGTGCAAGTAACTTCACAAATTCTGTCCACTTTATTTCTTCCAGCATCAAAAGGAAGAATGTCTTGTCCAAACACAGCCCATAAATAGCAAATGTTGACATCTGATGCAGCTTAAATTTTCCTGATTCTTGTTACCCACCCTGGAGCCTGGACCCAACAGTCACACATTTGCATCGCATAAAGAGCAGTTTCAATTTTCCTGATTCCTGTTACCCACCCTGGAGCCTGGACCTAACAGTCACACATTTGCATCGCATAAAGGAAAGGAAGGACCTCACCCACAGAGTAGGGGAACTTAGACATTGCACAAAGCATCCATTGAGAAATAGCAAAGATTCAGGGTAGACAGTTTCTCCAACCAAACACCACCATCACCACCACCAAACCCACCTCTTTGGGTGGGTAGAGTTTACATAAATCGCTCACTGCCTACTGAAATAAAATCAAAGGATGTTCAGGGTGTCTGCAATATATATCATTAATATAGATCATTATCATAGATATCCTGACACCTTGACCTGTTTCTTACAGTCAGGGCTTTTAATTGCAATGACTAATCAATATTTCCTGAGCCTAGTGAATGGGATGAGATAATTGTGCAGAATTCCTGTGTTAACTACCTTTGAAAGAGTAATATGTTTTACTGCTAATGGTGTGTTCTGAGGTCTGCACTGACCTCAGGCATCGCACTTGAGCCGAAATTTTCATCTTTGAAGAGAAACAGAGATTGTCATATTTGGGCATGTAATTAAGCAGCCTGGATTCCCCAAAAACCCTTTTAAGTGTGTCAAGTGGGAACCTGAACACTGAGGTCTCTCAGTGACATTGGAAATATTAAAGAAAGGAACTGCTGCAGTGCTGGTTGTTATCAGAATTGGTGAAAAATGGTGATGGTTTGTCCAGAGCTCCTTCTATGAAGGAGAATCATTTGCCCTGTGCTTTTCAGTGTGATAGTCTGAGGTCTGGCCTGCTGATGAAACAGCATGCCTAAAACCATGTAGTGTTTTATAACTGTTTGGCATTAGGATGCTGAACAGCTGCTTCTATTATGAGTGCACTGGTAAGTGAAGTTCCTACTGCCTTTCTGAGTGAACACAGACATTGCTTATTAAAGACCCAAATCCACAAGGTGCTGGTCAATCTTAGCCTTCATGACCCTTTCTTTCTTCTGTGTAGAATATCTGTCTGGTTGGAAGCTCTGGTCTCTCACTGGGAATTTAGCAAGGTATTTCCATCTGTTGCTGCAGGCTGTGTTTCAGAGTATGGGTTCATTTGTGACTCATGTTACTTTTCTCTCCTTTCCCTCCCCCTTTCTCTCTCTCATCTTCTTTCCTCTGCAGAGGGGGTAAGAATGAGCCAGAACCAGAGCAACCAATCCCTCGAAAGGTGCAGATTCGTTCTCTCCCTTCCTTGGAGGATATTGATCCAGACGTGTTAGATAGCATGCACTCATTAGGCTGCTTCCGTGACCGAAATAAACTCTTACAGGACTTGTTGTCGGAAGAGTAAGCACTTGCTCAGTCTTCATATCAGTTGGGTGACCGGGGCTGGGATGCTTCTAAAGCTGGGGAGAGGCAGAGTACACTTTAACTGATGTCTCTCTCTCAATGTGAGTGACTGGTAGCAACTTCTTGCCCTCTGGCTGCTCGTTTGCTAATGAGGTACTGGGAGCAAGCACTGAGCCTTTCTTGCTCCATGGGTCAGAAGATCACAGCCTGACCAGCAATGGAGGTATGGTGCTCTCTCTTCCCTTGCTGCCAGGCAAGGTCACTTCGTGGGTTGTACAGTTCAGATGGGGAAGTATCATTGCTGTTATTTGTGTTGAATATGCCTTGGTCGGTAGATTTGTATTTATTTTAAGCCTATGAGAGCTGGTGTATTTCCTGAGGCGTTAAGAGAGACACAGAGTAGAAAGAGCACTTAGAGGCTTTGGAGACCTATTTGCTGCCACTCCTGACTTGGACTTCCTGTGGACACTTTACCTCATCTGTCCTGTGCCTCTGTTCTGTGTGTGTAACATGAGAACCACATTTCCTTTTCTCAATAGCTTCTTGTTGGAGACAGCAAGGGTCTCAAAAGCTGTGTGGGTTGTGTATCTAGCTAGCAGGTGTATGACCATTCCCAACTTATTCAGAATAACTCTAACTGTTTGTTTGATGGTAAGGGTTTATCTACATGTTGACCTTTTATATTTCCAAATGTAAAGACTTTTTTTTTCTTTTTTTTTTTTCAGAGAAAACCAAGAAAAAATGATTTATTTTCTTCTGCTTGACCGGAAGGAGAGGTACCCTAGTCATGAAGATGAGGATCTTCCCCCTAGAAATGAAATAGGTACTACAGATATGCCCTCAGGCACCATCTCAACTAGTTCCTCTTCTCCTTTCTCTTTAAAAAGTCATTTTATTATAAAACCTAGCATCCCTCTTGCCTTCCCACTGAAACAGCATACAGCATTGGTGAGAATCCTCAGCCTGAGGCAGGTTAGTGGTTAAACTCAAAGGCTTCATTTTCCAGGACGTGTCTTTCTCACCGTGCAGAAACATCCAAATAGGTCTTGAATGAGACCTTTAAAAATATACTGTGGACACACAAACTTGCTTTATGCAAACAGCCTTTAGAAGCAGTAGAATGTAGTAGAATTTTCTAGTTACTACATGCAGTATTGCAGAAATGCTGCTCATGGACTTTGTGTAGCATTGCATCCCTATGAGGTTATATATGCACACATTCTCTTTTCTGTAAGTGAATACATACACTGTTGAAAGTATGAGTAATATCACTTAGCTGTTTATAGTACATAGATCAAACTCCCATGTTTTTAGACTTAGAAAGATTTGAAAAGCTTAATGTGTAGTAAGATTATATATCATATAAAGCCCTTGTGATACTCTTTTATTCCTGAAGAATCACTCATTAGTATTTTAGAGTGCTGCTGATCACCAAGGACCTCACTAATCTAGACAACGGGAAAAATGCTTCCCTAAGGAGCTAACTATATAAGTGACTCTTGCTGTGCAAGTGACAAAACTTTAATAGAGTATTAGTCACTTCTAGCAATGATCTGGAATAGCATTTTTACATAGCAGTGTTGTGATTTTCAGGTATCATATTTCAGCACTTTGAAGACTAGAAGCAAAGTGCTGTTTACTTTCACTGGAAAGCCTGAAATCTCCCAAGCCTACAGGGCAATGGTATATTGCACTGTAAATGTGTTAATGCTCCGTTGAATGATTACCTTATCCAAGCTCCAGGCTCCAGGCCCTATATTTTTGCAGAGAAACTTCTTCTGTGGGAGAAGAGATGAAAATTCTTATTTAACACTGAAATTTTTAAACTCCTACCTGGATGGAGCTACAGAGGGAATGTTAGCAGGGATCCTGATGAAGATGGGTAGATGTGCCAGCTGCAGGTCCTGTGGTCAAATGCCCCTTGCTCAGTGCAGTTTGTCATCTAGCACTTTAGTAATCAGCTTTCGACTGAAACAGATTACCCTGCCATGTAAGGACAGCATCATCTTAGTTTAGAAATGCTTTTGTCATAAGCAAAGAAGCAAGGTGACTCTAGAATCTTCATATCTAGCATGTAAGTGAATACATAGCTATGCCCTAAGTACATCATATATCTCTCTTCCACATACCAAAATATTTTCACAGTTTGAAGTGAAAGATTGTGCTCCACTCTTGTATTTTTTTATACAAGAAGTGAAAATGTTTCCTAACAGGGAAACAGTACTCTGAATGCATTATTGTGCCTCATCAGCATATTTGAGCATTATTCTTTGAGTGCTTGTAGGTTGTATTTCCTCTTCCACAGGGGGTTTCCACCTCCTCTGTTCCCAGCAGTATCTCTGAGAACATGGGGCAAGGTTTAATTAGGAACAGTCATGCTTCTGATGAATATCTCATCATTAGCCATTAGCAATGGCCTTGCACAAACAAAGAAAATCAGAGAAAAAGTAAGATTTAATTATAGCAGCTTGAAGAAATCATGTTCACAGGAGTTGTGCGTTGTCTGAGCTCTTGCCAGAAAAACCCAAAACATCTGAGAGTATTTTGCTTTTTCCTCTTTCTTTGCTTGTGAGGGCTCAGAAAGGATGGATGCAGATGATAATATGGCCATATCAGACTTGCCCTCTCTTCTGGTGTCCCTTTGGTCTGTTTCAGCTGTATGAAGTTTTTTCAACATCTTGCCAGTCCAGTTCCATTGTCTTTACCTAAAAATATAGGAATGAGAAACTTCTCAGCAAAAAGAATGAATGTCAGCTAATGTCTCCTTGAGAAAAGGCTTTTGTGGGGTGAAGTTTCTTAACAAACCAGAGAACAGATTGGGCCAAAACAGGTATATAGGATACAGGTGCCTCATCCAAATTCAGAAGTTGAACCTTTATTTCCCACCTTCCATGGGAAGGTGAATTTATAATTGGATCATTACCTATATGATTCTATCTTCTTCTGCAAAAATCCTTGGGAATGGCTTCACTTCTCTAATGTCAAATAAAAGGAAAATGCATCCAATGGTGTAACAGATCTGGACTAGGCTTGATTTTTTTTTTTTTTTGCCATGTGGAATATTTCCAGAGAGTCAGGAATAGAAGAGGAAATACTGGAGGTTTTCCTATTTTAAATTCCTGTACTTCAGCAAAATCTTCTCCTGCTTTTGTATGGCACCACTTTTAGTCTTTATGGCTGTGTATTTAATTATTTCTTTAGTATCTTTAGACTTGACAGTGATGGTGCCCTGTCAATCTGACACTTCTAAAAAGTATGTACAATACTTGCTACTCTCAGCTATGTATAGTGTAGTATTGTAGACAGTTTTAAAGAGGCATCAAATACCTTTACTAGAAGCTTAACCATATTCATGCAAGCTTCTGGGTGTATTTTCCATCAAACTTTTGTGAATTGCTGTTCTTGAATTTATAGGTGTGTTTTTCTACCTGCTCTTTTTGCTTACTCTTTGATAGTTTAAAGTATAGATTGAAAATCAATGTCTTCCAGAGTCTTGTGCAGCAAGTACTGATATAAAAAAATCATTTAGCTCATTAGTGATATCCTGCTACTCCTTAATTGTTCTGTTTGATTCCCTCATGGTCCCCCTGGCCAATGTCCTTCTCTCAAGCTTTCTTTTTCTGTTGCTTGTACAAAACACTGTCATTCAAGACTTTAGCTAATCCCTCTTCAGATTTCTTGTCTTGAAAGTCCACCTTCTATTTGACCTGTCACTTTTTTAAGTATCACTCTGCTGAATTTCCATTTGCTGTTTTGAACATGCTTAGATCAAATTGCCTTTTAAAATATCTGTTCATAAAATGTTTTTCTTGCCTTTTTCCATCTTTCCTGTTTAGCGTCTATTATTAACTAACATTGATGCAGTCTGAGCTTACTCATCTCCATTCTTTTGACATTAGATGCTTTCTTCATCTTCTTTTTTCTTTTTTCTTCCTTCTTCCTTTCTTTTAAACTGCACTCTTTTATCTTCCTTTCTCATGTCTGATATCCTGCTGCAAGACTTGTATAAACTTTGTGTTATATATACTCTCAAAATCATCATTACATGTGTTACTCAGCTCTAGTCACACTTCTGATGTCAGCAGTTGTTCTGTTCAATGAATTCTCTCTCATACTTTGAACTTGATTGAAGAAAAGGGGTTTGAAATTCTTGTCCCAGCTTACTTTTGACCACTTACATATATGCAGCTGAAGCCACACTTAGTTTGTCTACCTTCGTTTTTCCATGGACTTTATATACTCTTTATTTTTCCCATCTGGAGGTCATTGCCCCTACCATTTTCTACTATCTTTGTATGACTGGACATAGTTTCAAATGTAGTGAGATACAACAGCATTTTTTTCTAATTAATTTTTAACAGGAGCCTTATTGCTGCTAATACAAAGAATACTTGGGTTATACAGTAATGGGGTCAGCTGTTACCACTAACCCATTTGCATTTGAGCTGTCTTTGCTTATGCTCTTTGTTTCAAGAATAAGCTCTGCCTTAAAGAGATCTTATTCTAAAATACATTATGTGAGAGAGAGAGAGGAAACAAGCAGATGGGGGGTGTGACTAGGACAGGATGATGAAGACCAGGCAGTAGAGGTAGAATTGTCAAATGTGGTATTTCTGCTTTTGCAAAGGAATCCTGGCAGAAGAAGAAGGCTTAAGGGCTGGGCACTGTGAGCTTCTTCCTAACAGTAGGTGTGAAGGATGCCTTTTTTACAAGTGGTCACTCTCCACTAATAAAAATGTGTTTATAAATAGAGGCAGGGAACTGAAATAGCCAAACCAAAGAGAAGAAAATCCTTCTGTATTTTTTTCTGCTTTCCTTTTTCTTACTATTTTGATGCCATGGGAGGTCTTCTGCTTTCCTCCTTCTTACTATTTTGATGCCATGGGAGGTGTTAGTAATAAAACATCTCAGCAGGTCTGCATTTGGTTCCCCACTTCACCATGAAGCTGCATATGGTTTGGCAAGTCACCTTCTGCAATGCATTTTGGTATCCAAAGACTCTTCTCAGAGCAATTTAAGTGCTCCTCAGAATCTCAGTATATGTTTGTCAACATCTTTAGGAACGAGTTGCTTTTAAATTTAAGTGCTCCTCAGAACCTCAGTATATGTTTGTAAACATCTTTAGGAACGAGTTGCTTTTAAGTCTCTCATTCTTATACCTCAGTTTTCACTCTGCAAAGCCGAAGTAGCACTTCAATACCTCATAGAATTGTTACACAATAAAAAGCATAAAGCATTTCAGTTACTGTAGTAGAAAAAGCTGTACAATGACCTCTGAGAGAAATTTTAGTGGCTTTTATTACAGAGTCATCTCAGGTAGACAAGCATGTTTAATTTGTAATGCTGAAGGAGGAAAAATATAAATCAGTGGGAAAACCCTGAAATCTAATCTTAAAGATGTGAAAAAAGGTTATGTTTTCAGAGCAGAATGCAATTCTGAGTTCAGAGCGTACTGATGTCCCTATGTCACATTTAATCTAGCTGGCAGGGACATCGAAGGCAAGATCTAGCAACCTGAATACATATACAGGATCCCTAGATGTCTCATGCTCTGGCTAACAGCTTGTGTTATAGCCCATGCTGTCGTCTTGTATCATCTTGTTATTGCTGTTATCAGCTTTGTAAGCTAATTTCTGCAAGCTATGGTATAGTTGTACCTTTATTTTACAGTGCTCATACATACATTCTGAGCAGTGACAGTGCTCCTCTCTGTAGATGGATTGCAATTTATGTCTTAGTGCTTGCAAACTTGGAAGAAGGGAGAAACTCCAAATGTTCATCTCCACCATAGAGATATCTGTCTCTAAAAGGGAGGTGTGAGAGTCAATTGTTGAGAGAGGGTTTAACCAGCCTGTGGGAGGTAAGTCACAACTAAATTCAGCTGACAGCATTTTCTTTTCACAAAGATCCCCCCAGGAAGCGTGTGGACTCCCCAATGCTGAACAGGCATGGGAAGCGGCGGCCGGAGAGGAAGTCGATGGAGGTTCTCAGTGTGACAGACGGTGGCTCCCCAGTCCCTGCTCGCAGAGCTATTGAAATGGCACAACATGGACAGAGGTGGGTCTCTGCTTTACCCAGGAGTCCTGCCTGTCTGGGTTTGCTACCCCCTTTTATGTTATACATACAAAAGAGCTGTGGAGCTTTTCTGTTCGCACCAGCACTCATTACAACTTCCAAGCACATTTGCAACATGATCTTGCAGCCAGCAGCGCTTGTGCACACAGGACCAGAAGTCCTGCCAGGGGCTTAAGGGTTCTGTTTGCTTGCAGCTATTCCTCAGGAAACCACTATGTCCTCTGGGCAAGATTCATCTCACCTCTTTTTAATTGTTGAGAACATAGGCATTCAGTCTAAGCTTGCTGTACAGGCTGACTAGGCAATGGGGGCAGATGAGGGCTTTGGAAGATCTCAGACACATATGTCCTGTCAAACAGGATCAATTACCCTCTGCTTGTTCTTCTGTCTCCATAGCCTACAACAGGAATCTATGTGACTACCATGGTTGAGGTTCCTAGCTTTTGGGCTCTTGAAGTTCCCCTAAATGAGGTGAACTTCACCTTCCATGTCATCAGAACAACTTGAGCAACTTGAATCTGGAAAGCCCTGTCCAGGCATCTGTAGATGCTTCTGAAATGTGCTGTCAGACCCAGCATGTATCTGACCCACATAAATTACCACATGCCTGTAAAGGGACAGAATGTGCATAATTTTGCCTCTTTTCTATCAAAGAAATTGTCGGTCTTGTGGAGAAACAGCAGAGGAAAATGGTGTCTCCTCAAGGCAAGTTCTGGGAGAGTAAGTGAATTGTGGAAATTCACTTATGTGAACCATGGAAGTTGCTTCATCAGCCCCTGTGACTAGCCTAAGGGAAGCACCTGCATTTGGTTTCACACTTGCATAAATCAACCAATATAAAAGAACATTTTACATAGATGTATGATGATGATGCTGTAACTTCTGTTTCAGCTTTGACATGATGTTTTTTTCATTCAGCTTTTAAGATCTGTTCAAAAAGAGCCTGCTGTGCCCAGAAGCTCCCTTTGCTGACTGAGAACTGGGTGAAGAACATGAAATAATTTCATAGATATTCCAGAGACCCCTAGAACTGCTGGAGAGTTTTGCAGGCAATTGTTACAGTTCTATCTACAGTGAGGAAAAAGTGGTGATTTCCAGAATCTGCTAGGACTTATTTCAGACTGGATATGTGGCCTTGAGCTATACATAAAGATATTTCATTGTAGTGTAGCTTGGAAACCTGTCTTGAATATGTGATTTCCTTTGGTGTGAGGTATGGGTGAAGGAAGTGTTAAGGACAGGGTGTACTCAGTGTTCCTCATAGGCCTCAAAGTGATAAAGATGAACACAACACTGACTCCTTGTTCAGCCTGTGATGTTTAATCTGGTACCTGGTACATGCGTGGGCCTTGGAGCTCTCAGGGCCAGACAGAGGCAAATAATTTTCCCCCACCCCAAGGCTGCTGGTGTGTCACAGTACTCTGCAGCTGTTTACAGGAAGTGTACAACGGGGTGGAACAAACAGGAGGTGTTAGGTTGATCACAAAGTTTTCTGAGAGCTGAAACCTTTTCTTCCAGCTCTCAGCTTTGACTTTGGATTCAAAAGCCTGAAGAGGCAAAGCTGTGTCTTGCTATCCAAAGTATTTCTTTTGCTTTTAAATGTCTCTCTCGATTCTGCATATGAGGAAACAATAGAAGTCAAAAGGTCTGAGATGAGTTTAGAGCAGAGACATATACAGGCTACAGATCAGTAAAGAAGGGCTTTGGATTAAGGAGGAAACAAAACCTGCCAGGCACAAAAGAGATGTGGAGCAGTGTGTACCACAACTCAGGAAAGGACATAAAGGTGTGATTAAGGGTGGAGAAAGGGATGTAATAACACCATGATTGATGATGATGGACTTGGTAGAGCTTGTTTTGGAAGGAGTTAAAGGGAAGATGTTATTTTACTCCATGTGTGAGCTTCTATAATTCATACCATCCACATCCACAGATGAGAGCAGCACATTTTGTGTTGCTGGCAGCACGTCGTTTATAACATGAACTGGCTTCATTAACGAACACCACTGCATGGGGATTGTCTGGGGACGATGCATTGCTGATGGGGCACCATCTGTCAGAGCAGTCAGTAACAAAATGACAAGTGCCTTCCACCAAGAGTGGGGATTTTTAATGGCTAGTCGCATATTATATTCCATGAAATGTCCCACTGTCAGTGGATTTTACAGCAGTAGGGCTCAATCCCAGGGGTGGATGATTTGTTAAGAATGACTCTTTTTTTGGTCTCAACAAATGACTATTGAGTGCTTTTATCCTACAATACTAGGGAGGTGGATCATGGAAACAGGTATCCTGTTTAGACACAGATGACTTGTATAAACATCCGGAAACACAGAGCTGTTGCTTCTTTCTTGAACTGGCAAAGATACACTTCTAACCAGTGGGCAAAACACACCCAAGTGTCTTGTGATTTAGTCCTACTGTCCTCTTTCCCAGTAGTAAACAGATGTTTGCTTGCATAAAGGAGATTTATGTTATAGCCTCTGGTTTATGTGTCAGTATGCTTTTGGTAACCATGTGGGGACCCTACAGGTGTCTTGGCTTGTTTAGGGCATATCTTTCCACTGAGACTGGAAATTTGGCAGCCTTCAACCCTACAGGCTGAGAAGGTATTAAGAGAAAAACATAGTCCTTTGGTGACTTAGTTTTGAATAATGCACGAGGGAAACTCAGCACAAAGGCTGCTTGTTGAGCTTATAGGCTCCTTGAAATGCTTGTGCTGACCTCTCCAAGTGTTCTCCATTGGGTCTTTGTATATGGCAAAGTTAGTATGCACAAGCACTAGCCACCCTAAAACTGGTGACTAAATTTTGTTAATTATTGGGTTTCCCTGCTAGTTGTCAGCTAAACGGGTTCATAATTTTATCTTAATTGCTTCTGCTGTTGTGGTGTCCCCACCTCTCAGACTATCTGGTATTCCACTGAAATGTCAGAAGAAAAGAGGTAGGTTCTGAGCTTAGTTTAACACCATCTAATTTGTCCCTTGTGCTAAAATCACACAGACTAGGAAGAATTCCATGGGAGCTAGAATCCGTTGGGGATATGCCAGAAATTTTCAGCAGCTTTACTGTGAGAGTCCAAAAACCATTCTAAAATGGGCTTCATTAACTATTCATTTTCTTCTAGTTATTGAAATGGAGAGCTTGCATGAAAGATCATCTAACATTAGGAAGCAGTGTTCTGTGAAACAGTGAAGGATATTACCAGTGAAATATATTACAGAGAGCTGCCCTTTCAGCGAAGCATAGGGAATTTTGTTTCTAAGCTGCAGGGATTCAGACCCAAGATGAAATAGAAGGGCATTTCTCTATACATTGAGTATAGGGAAGAGAGTTGGGAGTTCAGTGTTAATGGACCCTACAAATTAGAATGCAAAATGGATTACTGTTCCTCTAAGAGGCTCTGGTGGTCTGATTTTAGCCTTTTCTCATATTGTACTTAGTGTTGAGGTCTTCTAGAAAACTCTTGAGTAATGAGTGCTTTGCAATTTATGCCTTCAGGCATGTTCTGTTTTCCCTGGACAATGTGACAAAGTAGATGGTACCTGAGTTTTGAATTGGATAAAGGAGAGCAGGATTTACAAGTATGCATGGGGAAAGTCATCTTAGACCTCAGAAGTCAGGGGGAGATAATGAACTGCAGCACTGTGTAGGCGTAAGCCATAGGTGGAAAGTAAAAGAAAAGTTTTGAAGAGCATTGCAAGGGGAGGATGGGTTGGGGGCTGGGTGTCCAGCATTGCTTCAGGTGACTCTCTTTTATAAAAATGTCCACACTAGTAACTCTGTTTTCTCGCTTTGTTCCTGCCATAGTAAAACAATGTTCAGTAAAAGCCTGGATATCTCTGAAGCCAATCCCAAATTCAACAAAGAAGAAAGGTATAAACACTGACAATATGTTCCTCTCCTCTACCTCACTGCTGAGACCTTAAAGATGCAGTACTTACCTTCTCTGTGTGGGGACAGAGCTGTTCTCTCTGTAGAGAGAAGAGAAGCAAAGAGGGTGGGATATGTACAGCCCCACACTACATATATTTTTGTACAGTACCATTCATTTGAGGCTATCCCCAATACAGCCTGGGACTGTACCAGTGATTTCCCCACTAAAATTTAATCCTACTGCTGTTGTTGGTTCAGTTCTGCCATGAGCAAAGATCTATTTGCTAAGACTTCTTTGGGAAGGATTGGAAAATAAAACACAAACACTGGGAAAGGTCAGAGTGCTCCACTCTTAGCATTAGGAACAGCAGCACAACTGAGTCAGTGAAAACAATGGTAGAAAACTTTGGAAATTCAGTCTGACAGAGCAAAATACTAAGTACCTGTAGCTAAGAGACAAACTCCTTAAGACTTCCCAGAGGACACAAGAGGAAAATATGATTGAAGATAGAGTTTTTGGAGGCTGATTCCAGTCTAGCAGTTCAAGTAACAGATGGTGAAGAGCAACAGAAGCATTAACTCCCAACTGTGAATAGAGGCACAATGGAAGACACGCAGGCCACCAGATTTAGGAAGTTTAAATGGACTCATGTGGGTTCATGAACATACAAAAAACATTTAGACTTTTGGGAAGTTTTTTAGTGGGCATGTTGCTTCTAAAATTTTGGTCTCAGAGGAAGAGAGTATTTCTCTATGTTAAAAGCTGGCATCCCAATGGATAATTCTTCATCAAATGTAATCCCTATACTTTTTGGACAAACACTTAGCTTACCCAAAGGCTGGGAGTGTTGCATATGATTCCAAAAGGGGGAAGCAATGGCTTCATTAAAGGAACCTATGGACTTGGCAATCCATTCTTCTTTCCATTTCCCCTTTTCACAGAAATGTTTCTGTTTAAAAACTGATGTGGCCTTTAAGCCTCAGGAGACATCTAGGATATGTGAGGAACAGCCCCTGTTTTGGTCTTTTGCAGGCTGAGACAGTCTTTTGCAGGCGTGTCTCAAGTCCTGAGCCTACAACAGTGAAGAACATTGTGCATCTGCAGGA